TTGGGCTAAGAAGATGAGAGCCAGAAAAATGAAGAAGAGGTGGAAGAGGTTGTGGAGCTNTTTCTTTTGAAGATCTATGGCGTGCTTCTTCTCTAGGGTCTTCTCGAAATGGAGCTGGATTAAGGTGTTCAGAGCCTGGAGAGCTGTCTCTGTGGAGATTGATGGGTGCGGCCGAGTGTGGGCTTCCAAATCCGCCATTGATGAGGACCTTGCTTCAATCTGAGATGGAGGGATGGATGGGGAACCGGCACAAAAGGGATTTGATGAATCCGTGAAGAAATCAATGATTTGGGGCTTTTTGTCGTCGACAAATTTTAACTAATCTTTTACCTCATATTTATTTTATTTTTAAATTTTAATAAAAAATTAATTTCGAAAAAAAAATTAATTTTTGTCCTCTTCACTCCTCTAATCAACCCTCAATCCACATTCTTTGGGATTCAGCGTCTTTGCTGACACACTCCTTCATGACCAGTACTCTTCGGGGCTCACCCTCCTCATTGGCACATCGTCATTCGTTCCCTTCTCTGATTGATCCACCTCCTTCGTGTCCACCCCCTTTCGAGGCTTAGCCTCCTTACTAACACATCACTCGGTGTCTAACTTTGATACCATTTGTAATAGTCCAAGTCCACCACTAATAGAAATTGTCTTCTTCGTACTTTTCCCTCATCGTTTTTAAAACGTGTATACTAGGGTAAGATTTACACTTTTACAAAGAATATTTTGTTCTCCTTCTCAATCGATGTAGAATCTCATAGTTCGTGATAGTCTTATCACCAGCTCAATTGATGTTTTTAAAAAAAAAAAAAAAATCTCATTTTAGCCTCTTACTATATTTAACCAAGATTGTATCGAGATTAAACGATGACCAAAAATAATCGTTATCATGTGTACAAAACCTTACAATCCAAATTCAATTGAAGCATTAGATGAAAAAAGCGTGACCTAAATTCCAAACGAGATATCTGATTCAATTGAATTAGAAATGGATGTGGTTGGAATTCAGATGTGATCTAAAGTTTCCTTTTCCGGGGGAACAGAAGGATGGTTCTTGGTTTCTTCATCGCTGCAACTCATCTCCTTCCTTTTTCCCCATAGAACGCTGTAAAGGCTCAAAACCAGCAACATGGCGCCTATGCCACTGTTCATCACAACCCAGAAGAACCAAAAATGGGTTAAAATGGTGAGTAATGGAGTAATAATAATAGGGCATCAATGGGCCATCCCACACTCACCTCCCCAAGCTAACTCCATCGTTCAACAGCAACTGTGAACCAATGAGTGTAAAAATGAGGTTCAAGGGTGTGGTAACAGCTTGGAAAACAGGGCCCTTCTTTTTTATGACCCAACTTGACAGAAAGTTTGCAATGCATATTACAAAAGTTCCCTGCAACAAGGTTTTCAGTAACAATAAGCTATTAGAGAATGAAACGAGCATATTTTTCCTGTTACGGGCACAAGTGTCTGTAGTTTTGCTTTCGGTTTTAACCAAAAAGATCTCGTGTCGATGAAGTTAGTTGTTGTGAGATCCCACATTGGTTGAAGAGGGAACGAAACATTCTTTATAAAGACATGAAAACTTCTCCCTGAATACCAATGAGGACGCTGAGACTCGAAAAGGGATGGATTGTGAGATCCCACATTGACTAGAGAGGAGAACGAATGCGTTTTAAAATCCTTTGAAGGAAACCTAAAAGGGATAGCACATAGCGGTGGTGGGTTTTGGCTGTTATGCTCACAGCCACTTGAAGATTTCATGCATGTACATGGCTAAGTTTAGAGTTTGGTTTCGATACCACCGGTTAAGAACAAGTGAACATCTACAATTTTATAATGATTAACTTTGAATATAAGCTTTCGTAGCTTAGAGAGAGATTCATACGCAATAAAGAACAGAAACGAGGCGAATGTTCCAACCGAGCTGCCACTCAGAAGTGTTTCGTTCCACTGCAATGGCCACAACAAACGACTGCAAAGCGCTTGACAATGTTTGTCCACACGTTAACACGAGTGGCGATGAGCCCGTCTTCAAAATCAATGCCTGAAAATATACGTTTAAGTTGATGGGTTACGGTAACAAAAGACGACAAAGAAGGTGGAGTTTGGATAACTAACCTGAAGAACAAACCACAAACCCCATGAAATGCAGGCAAAGAGAAGCAAAAAACAACCAAAAATCCATGTTTTGGGGGAAGAAACATGAGACTCATGGGTTTCAAAAAGATGATAATGGAAGAATGGCTTTATGTATGGGCCTCTGTAAAATGCAAGCACTGCAACGCCTGCAATGCACACAATTATGCCTCCAACCTTTGCCATTCCACTTGCTTTCCTTATCTTTACTTCCTCCATCCTATCAACAACACATACCCATACGAGCGTTCATGGCTGAGATCATAATTTTCTAATAACTCAAATCTACTACTAACAAATATTGTCATTTTTGAACTTCCCCTATTTAAAATGCGTATACTATGGAGAGGGTCTAGCCCTATTCTAACCCGTGCTTTGCACCATCCTGTGACTGACTCTAATACTATTTGTAACAGCCTAAGCCAACAGCTAGTAGATATTGTTCGCTTTAGTCTGTTACTTTATTAGGGAGAGGTTTCTACACCCTTATAAAGAATGCTTCGTTTCCCTCTCCAACATGGAAGTTTGGAGAAAGATCATGGTTTAGAACCTGAAAATAAGAGCAAAGAAGAAGGTGGTGACAGGGAGACAATTGAACGCTGCAGCACCCAAAGTTGCAGAAGTATATTTAACGCCTAACCCATAAACATTCAAAGCCAATGTAAACCTGCACGTTTTAAACACAAATGATTGCTGAAACGATCCATGAACAATCTCAAATTCAGAGAGTAAATCTACTTATAATTGTACTGACCCTAAACTGGCCTGCATGAAAATCTTGAACACCACTCCTACTGATAAACCTGCTATTTCCTGTCTGCAATGCATGAAAAAACAAGAAACCAATTGTTACGGGCATGAAAATATCTTGTGCGAATGAAGATAATTATCTCTTAGTTATGCATGTATGATCTTCGAATCACTCACAGCCACTTGAGGGTGGCTAAATCTAGAGCTTGGTTTCGAACAAGTGAACCTCTACAACGTCATAATGGTGCATTACGAACGACACGCTTCACTAGCTTCCACCTCATGTTAGGCCATTAATCGGGGGATTCTACAAAGTAGTTTAACGAAGAAATGTATGGCTTTGAGGTCAACTTTTGAGTGAAAATCTAACCTTTAACAACAGTCGATTAGTCCAACTAAAAGATGGGAGATTCTTGAAATATGGAACAATACCCCAATTTTAGAAGAAAAATGGATAGGACAGCGAAGGTTTTGAAATGGGTTTTTTCTTCTTTTCTTTTTCGGTATTATGCCGCCCCTCCCCTGAATTCAAAAAAGAAGATGTGACTTTGTCTTTCCTTTGGGTTGTGCTTAACGTAAAGTGACTCTTCCCTCTCGTGATAATGGTGTGATAGTTCTGCTTTGGGTTAAGCTCTCGTAATTTGGTTTTGGTTTTATTCAAAAGACGTTAAGCTAACTGAGAAAATCGTCTCTCGACACGAAAAATGAGGCTTAAGTAATTAGTTACCTTTTGAAAAATATGGTGATGGGCAGCAAGAAGAGCGTTCCAACAGCTTGCCTGTAGAAAAGGAAAATATAAACATTCATACCAGAAGCAAAGGCAGCCTTTGACAATAGACTCATCCCAGCAAACGCGATTTGGCAGAGAATAGCAGCCAAGTAAGGCTTGTTTGAGTCCATTCTCATGAAACCAACAACTATTTTGATCCCTCTTCCCCTTCATCTGTGTGTGTTGTTTAATAAAACCAACAATCCAACCATCACCATTCAATAAAATATGTAAGTTTATATTATTCAATTCGTGTAAGTGCTTCATCATAATTGGAAGATTACTTCTCTAGTGGGAAAAGTTTAGTTATTGTTGATTACACACTCTAGATTCTTTCCCACTCAATTGTATTAATGATTTTGGGTACGTGGAGCTAATAGAAAAACTACGAGTACTATTATGATCAAACATCACTACTAGTAGATATTGTCCTCTCTAAATTTTTTCTTTCGAATTTTTACTCAAAATTTTTAAAACACATCTGTTAAGGAGAAGTTCTATCTTTATTGAATTAATGTTTAGTAAAAAACGGAACGTATAAAAGAAGAGGGCAAGTTCTTTCTGTTGATGATAATTTCATGTCCTTTAGAATCATTTGATTCTAACAAATAAAAAGGATGGTTAGTATGGTTTTGATTGATAAAATAGAATAAAGAGGTTGGCCAAAGTGCAATTCCAGCTTAACCTCAACTTCTACAGATTAATTTATAACAAAAAGGAAATGCTTCCCAAGCCCCTCAGAGCATACTTGTGTTTTATATTACTCGACTTTGACGTATTACATTCTTAAAAAAATTGCAAATCAATGAGTAGCAACATGACCTGATCCAACATACCAAATACTTCTCAAGGCAGATTACAAGAATTCCCTACGAACGTTAACTCAAAGTTTGGTTTAAATCTTGAGCTTGGAGCGTTACATAGATTCAATGGGCTTAACACATGCCAAACTCAAAAGAACGGATACAGTTCATAATGTTTGCTAGACAAAAATAAACATGCACCTATTTTACTTTGTCAAAATCTTCCTACTCGAAAAGTTATATCCTCAAGTCAAATTTTGCCATTTTCTAAAACTTTCTTCTCAAAATGGGGCAGGAACTTGAGCATACGTTGCTTAGCCGTGGACAACACAATCCTAAGTTGGCTCGACTCACTTAGTACTGAGCCACACAATTGCCAAAATCCCAAGTGCGGTTGTGACCATCATTTCAAATACCCACGTTTATAGGGGTATTGAATCTCCCAATACTTTACATAATGGGAATGGGTAATTAGGAATGAAACTGGATGAACATACATTCATTTACTTCACAAAGGTAAGAAACATTGAGAGAGACATTTCTGGAAAGCTCAAAAATGCAGTATCAAGATTTCAATTCCATAGCAAGTTTACGACCAAAAACTGACACTAATATTTCGCATACAATAAATATTAACATTAATGTTCTCAGGGAAAACCTTCAAAAAGAAAAGAAAATTGGAAAAAATGTATATATTTAGGAAAAGCATCACAATCACTCTTTCTGCTACGAATATCCTATGGTCGAGAACCACAGATGACAGAACAGAACAGATTCTTTTTGCCACAAATCTGGAGGGTCACCAGCAATTGTGAGCTTCCAACAACAAGGCCACCGTATGAATGGAGAATCATAGTGAATGAAAATGCATTGATACAACAAATCTAACACAGTCCCTCCCTTCCTCCTTTGACGCCAACCAATCTCAGTTCAACATTACATGACACAAAAAAGCCAACTAAAGGGAAAAATAACTCACCAGCAAAGAAACTGACCAGCAGCTCAGAAACACTTCCTGTGGACAATGGATGGGCCCGATTCATCATATTCACCCTTTGAAATCCACATCTGATACAACAAAACGCAAGGGTGAGTGCCATTTGTGAATTCAAAACTATAACGAAATACTCTGTGGATGCAAGAATAGATTTACCTGCTGGAAGGTACTTAGGGATGCGAGAATAGACCCTCCAATCCAGACACTGTATTTCCTTTCGGGTGGAGCAACAACCTTAATCTTCATGCTGCTGGGAGCAAGGGCTGTAATTTCCTTGCTCATCCTGTCTGCAATGCCAGGGAACATGGTTGAGCCACCACTGAGGACGATGTTTCCGTAAAGGTCCTTTCTGATATCGACGTCACACTTCATGATGGAGTTGTAGGTAGTTTCGTGGATTCCTGCAGCTTCCATACCGATGAGAGATGGTTGGAATAGAACTTCTGGGCAACGGAATCTCTCAGCTCCAATGGTGATGACTTGTCCATCAGGAAGTTCGTAGTTCTTCTCAATAGAGGAACTGCTCTTTGCAGTCTCGAGTTCTTGTTCATAGTCAAGAGCAACATATGCCAGCTTCTCCTTCATGTCACGGACAATTTCCCGTTCAGCAGTAGTGGTGAACATATAACCTCTTTCGGTGAGAATCTTCATCAAAGCATCAGTGAGGTCACGACCAGCAAGGTCTAAACGAAGAATTGCATGAGGGAGGGCATAACCCTCGTAGATGGGAACGGTGTGACTCACACCATCACCAGAATCCAGCACAATACCTGTTCAAAGTAGAATCTTTTTCAATACCAAATAATCCAAGTTCAAAATTACATCATTGTCATTCAAATAGAATTCATATACATACCAGTTGTACGTCCACTAGCATAGAGGGACAGAACAGCCTGGATGGCAACATACATAGCAGGCACATTAAACGTCTCAAACATGATCTGAGTCATCTTTTCTCTGTTAGCCTTTGGGTTGAGTGGAGCCTCAGTCAGAAGCACAGGGTGCTCTTCGGGAGCAACACGAAGTTCATTGTAAAATGTGTGATGCCAAATCTTTTCCATGTCATCCCAGTTACTGACTATACCGTGTTCAATGGGATATTTCAAGGTAAGGATACCTCTTTTGGACTGAGCCTCATCCCCAACATAGGCATCTTTTTGGCCCATTCCAACCATGACACCAGTATGTCGGGGACGACCAACAATACTGGGAAAAACTGCCCTAGGAGCATCATCACCAGCAAAGCCAGCCTGCACAACAAAAAATGGCATTAAATTAGAGGAAGAAATGAAAATCCTTGGGATAAAAATGGATGCAACCAGCACACAAACACAAGAACCAATGAACTGACCTTCACCATTCCAGTTCCATTGTCACAAACAAGTGGCTGAATATCTTCAGCGTCTGCCATCTTTTTCAAAAACTGCACAAAGCATTATAAAAATAGAAGTTGAATAAATAAACAACACATAGCAATCTAGAATCCATGTCTCGGGCATCTTAGATTTACAATCCATTAATTAACTTCATGTAATTGATCTTCCAGACTCATCAAGTAATACAGGAATCAATATACTACTAAAAACGATTCCAGACATAAGAAATCAAACCAGTAATCAAATATCTTATAGATCTTACAAACGAAAAGGAACACGAGCTGACAAGAAACTGACAATCTTATCCGTTTTCAGATCGAGAAGCTACCAGAACTAATCTGAGTGATAAAAATAACACAAAGCAGAGAACAAACACACTAAATACCAGATCAGACAACCAAAAGACCAGAATAGTTCGTCCATCAACTAAACAGACAATAAATAAACAAAAACAAGCACCAATCACCAGAAAGCTGCGCAGCTATGCGCGATTACAGAATTGCATGCGGAAATCAAAAGCTACACATCGCCAAAGCCTAGATCTCAGTTGCTTAAGTACACACAGTCAAAACCCAAACCAAAATTTTCAGATCAGTTACATCGATCGGACAAAAATCACGGATCCACACCAATCGATGCAGAATTCCAAACCAGACACAAAGATCAGCAAAATTTCAGAAACCTCATCAGCAGAAACCGAATTAAAGCAATAAATCAGAAAATGAGAGCCCTGAAAAGCATAATTTAGCAAAAGAACAAAAACCCCAGATCGAAGTTCAGAAGAATAAGAGACAAGCAAATGGCAGCAGAGTAGAAAGAGTGAAGTAAATAAAAGAATGCAAGTTAGAGAGAAGGAGATGAAACAAACCTTGGATTAAAGAGAGGAAAATGAACGAGGAAGAAGAAGCCAACCTCCAAAGACGAAGGTGTGGCTGAGAGTAGTGAGAGTCGACCTAGCTAGCTGTGTTGCACGACAGGAATTACAGGAAGAGAAATCAAGGGAAGATAGGGTTTATAAATAGAGAGAGAGAGAGAGAGAACGCGCGGTAATGTAAATTCAAATGCAAATGCAAATGCAAATTCGGATGAAATGACGAATTTGGATTGGGAATTGAAGGAATCATTTCCACCACCAGAAAAGATAGAGTGACCTGGCTGACAGCTTTGCCCAGCCCCATCCTTCGCCTTCTTTCTCTTTTTCATCCAATCTCAACCGTTGGATCTTATCAAATGTAAACATATTAATTAATAAATTCTGAGAAAATATGTATAATAAAACCCTTATTAATAAAATTTATTTATATATATATAAGAAGAGGGATTTACACTATTTTATTATCTTATTATTTAGACAAAGTTGCTCTCTTAGTGGCAAACCATTACCTCCACACTTTATATTATTATCTTAATTTGATTTTTATTTTTTAATTAATATGATATTTTAAATTTTTAATTGATATTATATGTTTTAACCAATTAAATTATATTTTATTAACTATGTAATAATATTATTGTACTTACTCGTCTATCACCAAATATCATCAATAAGGATCACTCATATTCACAAATAGAGATGTTTATAAAACGGGACGAGAACAGGGACGGGGAATACAATCCATGTCCCTCAGTCCTATTTAGCCAACGTAGAGAAATCTCTTCTCATTTCGTCTGTCATTTCATACCCCAACTTCAAACTATACGTTAAAAGGAGCTCTATATTCACGAAACCTAAACCCTCAAATAAATGAAAAGACTATTTTGCCCTTGAAAAACAAAAGAGGTTGGAAAGAAGATAATTGCTAAAATGATGTTAAAATCTTTTTTGCTTTAAGAAACAAGAAAATATGATTTTTTTTAAAAAAATGATATAGAAATATGAGTTGGAAAGTGGGGAAGAAGGCAAGGTAGAAGTAAATTAGAAGCAAAGATTAATTGGAGGATGTGGGTTTGGTAGTGTGTCTTTGTTAGGTCCGGTTTAATAATGCATTGAGGATTTGATGGGGGTGGTGACAGATTCTTAAAACTGGTGCCTCAAACTCCTGCAATTTAATGACGGCGGCCTTTAGATCTGTCCACCATCTTCTCATCCGCCAACCCCCGCCCGCTTCACATCCGATCTACGGCGCCCAAACAGAATTCAGCTCGTCCACAGATGGCGGCGGGTCCGTCGGGATTGAAGCTTTGGTCACTAAGCCCACCAAGGCCACCCCTCTCGTGGGAAGTTCCTCCGTCCCATCACTTGCCTTATGTCGAACCACATATGAAGATAAAATATATGTACTCTTTAGTATATTATTATTTATTATGATTGAAAATAGAAAGTATCACGAACGAAGAGTGAGAATATTACCAAGTGAAGTATAAACAAGTTAAAAAAATTTCTAAAAAAGTCGGGATTGGGAGGGATGTGTCGAGGTGACATTCGAGATACACATCACCAACAACATTCCACAAAGACAGCAAGATAAAGGAACATTTGCACATGGTATAGTGCTTTTATATACATATATATAGGTATTTGGGTTGGTGTATGTGATATATCAAACACAACATGTGAACTCTATCATCCAAATTCTCCCTTTTTCAGTGCAATTTATGTTTTGCTTTTCACTCTCACCTTCCATTCCCATTCCTCTCATGCCTCCCCTTTTTTGGCCATTTTTTCTCACCTTCCTTTCATTCTGCTTTCTATGATGGGATAGATTTAAATTCTAGACCGGATTTGTCTCGACACGATCTCATATCATCTAACCTAATTTATCTCGACACAATCTCATATTATCTAACCTAATTTTGTATAATGTAGACTTTGTTTATCGAGAGATAAAATATTCTATAATTTAATCTCTAAACTTTCCCTCCATTCTCCATTTTCTAATTTCTCTCCGCTTTTTGAATAAATGGAAAGTTTTATAAATTAATTTGAGAGTGGAAGAAGAAAATAATGTTAAGACAAAAGTTTAAATTTAGAGCTAAATGATCGGAGAATTATAACCGAAACCTTTTTATTTGAGGGGGAAAAGAGTGGAAGAGGAAAGATATTTACATTTGAATTAAGTTCCCTAATCTTGGCTAGGCTTGTAATAATTCTAATTAATTTTAAAAAGAAAAAAAAAAGATGCTTACTTGCTAAAGCAAAAAGTAACCAAAATGCTCCATCAATCACAAAAAGCCCAACCCCACAGCCCCACTTCCCACTTCAATCTCATCTACTACTTACTTTACCTATAGTTGCATACCAAACCTTCCCGTTCCACCGGAGCAATAACAACATTCACAACCACTTCCTCCCCCGGAGGCGGCGGCGGCGGCGACGGGTCAACAGGGGATGAACTCGCCGTCACAGGCGCCTCCTGGCTGCCTCCAGCGGCGATCTTATGGCAAGTGTTGAGGCAATTGCGGCACTTGGGGCAAGAATTATGGGAACTCAGCCATTTATCAATGCAATGAACGTGGAAGCCATGGAAGCATTTGGGCAATACACGCACCCGATCCCCACCCTCGAACTCCGACAAACAAATCACGCATTCCCCATCGATTCCCCTTAATTTATTCCCCTCTTTTGGGTATTCCACCGTCGGAAATTTCTTTAAGACATTTCGTCGAACACCTTTCGGATGCACCGCCAAAATCCCACCGCCACGTCCTTCCGACATCGTTGCCAGCAAACTGGAACACCGCAACGCGCATTTTAGAATCGCGTTGAGACCCAGAGAGCAAACTAGAGCACAGAGGAGAACCGAAAGTACCATCACTACGTTCATGTCGAAGCTCCCGAACCCAGGTCGCAGCTGCACTGACACCGGCGGACTGGCGGTCACGGCGGGAAGGAGAAGCCTTCTTGAATTAGTGATAGACATGTGGGGAGAACGTTGAAAGGTTAAAGATTGAGTTTTGGAATTGTAATTTGTTCTTTGTGAGAATAATGGGAGAACTTAAATAGCAAACGAAAATTAATGGATTGTGGGGGATTGGGGAAGAACAAACCTGACGTGTCCTTTATTTATATATATATATATATATATATTTAACTTAAGCTCTTTAAATTTCGTGAATATTTTAGAAACAAATTTAAAAGGTGAGACAAGAAAGTATTATTCGTTTTTATCTAATTTCGAACTTAATTTCGGAAAAATATTATCTTGTCTTTTTTTTTAGGTTCGAACATATAACCTCTTGATTAAAGGCAACCTTGACACGCCTCTTTGAGACGGTTTTGAGGGACCTCATTCTTAAAATGGTAAAATTGAAATCTCGAGCCTACAAATATCAACAAAAACAATAATAAATATCACAAAAAGATTTTATTGTAGTGGGTTCCAATTGCAGCCACCCTTTAGAGCAACAGCTCAAATGCCATAAGCTTTTATCTTTTTAATTTATATGCTTTCTTTAACCCATTAATTAAATGACACAAAATAAATAAATTTTTAAAAAAAAAGCACACTATTTATGATATTGAAATTAATTTTTTTTTATTGATAGTGATACTTAATTTGAAGAATAAAAGAGTGTTCCAGCAGATTCCAACTATCCAACATAAATAATTTCTTCAATTATGCTTTCTTATTATTAATATTAAAAAAAAAAAAAAGTGGCTATTTTTCTATTCAAATCCCAACTTAATTACAATTTTAGACATTTGAATTATTTGTGATTGAGTTACTGAAAAAATGTGTACTTTGTTGATATAGGTAATAATTTTCAATTTTTTAAAGTCTTTCTTAGTCATTCTATCTTCAATATTGCTCTCATTCGTACGGGTCTCGATTAGTTTATGTATTTCTCCTTAACTCGAACATCACATTATCCGAAGCTTTAGAAAAAAATCCAAGAAGCTGGTTTGAAAGTGCTTTATGAAAATTGCTCCTAAAGATGAGACTTTAATTTTGAAAAACTTTATTCCTTCTTTTATTAAAAAAAAAAAATCTTGTTGGGATGGTTGAACTTCAAGAACTATTACCATATATATTCTCGATCAATAGCTTAAACGTTAAAAAATCTTTAACGGATTAAGATATTAATAACATTTTTTATAAACATAAATCCCTTCGTCGCCGTCGAAGAGATCATAAAATCTTAGAGAATTATATTAAGAGATAACATGTCTAGCCATGGAAGGTTGGGAAAACTCGTTAAAAAAGAAAAGCTTTATGAAAAGTGATTAAAAAGAAATAATTTAAAAAAATAATAATTGGATCTTTGTGAAGCTTGGATTTGATATTATCGTATTAAAGTGATATATCAATGTAGACACATGAAAAGGAGCATTATGCTCAAACTAAAGCAATGTTATCTATTAGATCCTTTTGGGTAATGAAAATGAAAGCTTATAGTTTTTTTTTTTAAAAAAAATCAATTTGATACTTTATAATTTATAATGATAAATTGTCGCTTTGAAATCTATTTAGATATTAATTGTTATAAAAAATAACCTATTGGACTTTGTGATTAGATATTATATGTTTTAATGTGAAAATGACATATTAAAATTTAATAGTTATATTTTTATTAAAATATGGTAATGTTTGTCACTCTTGTTGGTATGATAAGCTTGATGAAACTATGCGTTAATCGAACATATATTTAACCAGATATGTTTAAAAAATGAGACTGTTCTTTCTTCTCAAGACACGTTTTGCTAGAAATCATGTAAGTATCATAAGTTTATAGGTTCTTTAAGCTCGAGACATGTTTTTTTAGGTGAGTTATGTTGTCTTCTCCATGATAGTATTGGTGTGAGATCCAAAATCGATTGGGGAGGGGAAACCTCTCCTTAGTAGATGTGTTTAAAATTGTGAGCTTGATGACGATATATAACGAACAAAAACAGACAATATCTACTAACGATGGAGTTGAGCTGTTACAGTTGGTTATTCCACTCTCGATATAGTATCGTCATTTTGTCTAGATAATATTTTCATGTATTTTATTTTCAAATATTTAATTTTAAGATATCTTAAAAACTAACACATAAAATAAGATGATTATTAAAATTACCCCACAATTATATTCTTTTAACGACACTATTTTATAATTGGGTTTAAAATATGGGATGATTATGAACATTGTTATTTTAATTATTTTTTACAATAAAACTATCCTGGAAACAGATCTTCTATGGGCCCAAATGGGTTGCCTTTTAAGGCCCAGGCCCATTTAAAGCCACCAAGATGATTAAATATTTTTTAGTCCCACAATTTGAAGATAAAATATTCTATTTTCTTTTTAGAAATTAAGCTGAAATTATCGATAGACAACTCGTAGAAACAGATTCTTTAATATTAATTTTAAATACTTTTTTTAATTGATAATTTTAAAATTTTACTATAATTCTTATAAAAATAAAAATTAATTATAACTTAATGAGAGAGTCAGAGTGAAGACGGGAATTGGGATATTATATCGGTCTCTCTGTTTAGATACTGAAAAAAAAAGATCTCTTTCCACCCTCTCCACATTCCCTATTTAAATAGGAATATTAAATAAATATTTTTAAACTAATAAATTTCAATACAAAATAAAAATAACTTATTGACATAAAATATATAATACATCAAAATATTATGTTTTTTTTTTTTCTTTACACGAAAAAGTCATTAAAAGAATAATTTTGTAGAGATCATTAAAGGAAGAAACTTGAAGATTAGGAAGTAATTAAATTCTAAAAAAATTTGTAATTAAGAAGGAAAAGGAAGCGACTGCATTCAAAAGCAGATAGTCATACAGTGTTTAACGGTGGATCCACGCTTGGTCTCTCTTGAATCGCTTTCTTTCGGCCTTCCTACTTTAAAATTTAAGTTCGTCATCGCATCATATACGTACGCTACCTTCTTCAATTTCTTCTTCTTTTCTGTTGCTTTTCCTTCTTGGATAATTCGAATTTCAGCACTTTTTCCTTTTTTCTCAAACCGGGGTTCTTCACTGATCTCATCTTCCCCACATCGATGATCTTTATCGTGTTGCAGTGAATCGCAGTCAACTGGGTCTCCAAACGCTCCGATTGGGGTTTCCGGTAAAGGGTTCGTTTCAATTTTACTCAATTTTTGTTCTTCATATGGCTTCTTCTCATAATACTCATTCCGAGACTGCAAAAGTTGAGCAAATTCTTACTGAATTCTTCCCTAAAACGCTACAAATCATACTTGAATCGAGGTCCCCTTGTATTTCATCGCGTAATTTCAGTGGTGATCAAGTTTTGTGTTCTCCATCTTCCTCCTCCTCCTCCTCTTCGAGTATGAGGCCGAGGGATAAGTGGTTCAATTTGGCCCTTCGTGAATGCTCCGCTACGTTAGAGAATATTGACCTCTGGCGTCCTAGCTATCACGAACCCATGGTCATAGATGTTATTTTGGTGCAAAGGGAATTTGGTTTAGACTCTGTCAATGCTTCTCCCAGGAGAGATCTTGTTAGGAACTTGTCTTTGAAAGAGAAACATCCATTTTCTTTGAATTCTGATAAGGAAGAGTTTGGATGTCAAACCAAGAGTGAGAAGGTTGTAGAGAGATGGATGGTTCATTATGAAAGTAGGAAGAACCGGGATACTAATTCTGGCTGCAGAAGGTCTAGTAATAGCACTGCACACACTTACAAGAAAACCATTTTACTCTTAAGATCTTTATATGCCTTTGTGAGGCTTTTACCTGCGTATAAGGTTTTTCAAGATATCAGTTCATCTGGTCAAATTCACCCATTTACTCTTGTTCATCGTGTGTCGTCCTTTGTTGAGCCTTTCACTCGAAGAGAAGAGGCCGAAATGCAGCGTTTCGTGTTCACTCCTGTGGACACTTCTTGTGGTAGACTCTGTCTCTCTGTGTTGTACCGTGCATCGCTTTCTGATATAAGCTCTGAACCATCAACTCCTATGTCTCCTCAAGTTATTCCTGAATATGTTGGGAGCCCATTGACAGATCCATTGAAAAGGTTTCCAACACTCCCTGTATCGATAGCCCCATCCCATGGATCTCCATCGTCGTTACAATTCTCGAGACGTCATAGTTGGAGTTATGACCGCTTTAGACCCTCCCCTCCTTCGGTCTCCTTTTCACCTTCGCCAACGTATTCAGAATCTCATGCTTTAGTTTCAAATCCAGCCTTTTGCCGCTTGCCTCCTTCGAGCTTACCTTCACAACCAGCTGAAATGGCTATGGGACATAAAGATAATGTGAATTATGATGAATATTATCCTTCTCCTGTCTTTTCCCCCTCACCCTCATTGTCGCCACCAATTGGTATTCCTGTAAGGCGATTGCCGAATGGTCTATTGCAGTCTGAAAGTGCTCCTCAAAGTGCACCTATAGCAAAGCTGCCCCATTCCCCTGCATTATCAAGCAAACCGAATTTGTCGCCATCCTCTCCCCTTAAAGCTTCTGGGCCGGGTATTCCATTGCCCGCTGGCTCTGCAATTAGAAAGGTATATATATTTCTGCTTATCATTATTTCCCGCTCTGAATGTGTTGTGCTCAATGTCTTGATTTGTTTTTATCTTCTTTAGTCATTTTCTCTTGGAAGAGACGAAAGCCGAAGAATTTCAGGCTGGAGGGTATCATCGAATAACTCACCAATTTCAAGAAGCTCCAGTAGATCTTTTCCAGATGATCTTGATGATCCAGAGTTTCCTTGCCCCTTTGATGTGGATGAGGATGAGATGACGGATAGAGGTAGCAGGTAATGACTGCTCACATTCTTCTCTTTCTGTGACAGTAATAACTAAATATGCTGAGATGTTGTGATTGAATTTATTTCCCTGCTTATGTTTGAGATCAAATCTTGTCTGCTACTTTCCTACTTTGAACGCGAACTTACTCTTTGATTATTTCCTATACACATTATTTTTCCTCCGTAGCTATAAATTGAGAGAGCCAAAGGGATGAACTGTACAGATCTAAAGACTCCTTTCTAGTTAAGACATAAATCAAGAGATTCACTCTATTCAAGGTAATAACTTGGGTTAAAAATCCTCTGATTATGTTCTATCAGATGTGTTTTAGTTAGAACCTTGAGGGGAACCTCGGAAGGGAAAGCCCGAATAGGATAATATCTGTTAGTGGTGGGCTTGAGCTGCTACGAGTGGTATCAGAGTCAAACACCGGGCAGCAGTGTGCCAGCGAGGACGCTAGGCCCCGAAGGGGGGTGGATTGTGAAATTCCACATCGATTGGAGAGGGGAACGAGTACCAGGAAGGATGCTGGACCTCGAAGGGTAGCGGATTGTGAGATCTCACGTCGGTTGGAGAGAGGAACAAAACATTCTTTATAAGGGTGTGGAAACCTCTTTCTAGCAGACACGTTTTAAAATCTTGAGAGAAAGCCCGGAAGGGAAAGTCCAAAGAGGACAATATCTGCTAGCGGCTACGCAAAGTGTAAAGAACAACTGGAAACTCGGCTTAATCGATTCAGCTATCAGTTAACCAATAGCTCAAATTTCAGCTTTCCAGAAACTTGCAAAGAAATTTCTACCATTCTCTTCGGAAGCTCCTTTCCAGAAGAAGTTTTGGATAGTTTTCTTTAACTTCTTGATAGCCTTTCATGGCCATTCAAAAACTGATATAATGTAAAGGGGAATTCTTGACAAAACAGCATTAGTAAGGATAAGCCCTTCTGTTCTAAAATGAAATTCTTCCAGCCTAGACAACTTGGAGGTTAATTTCTCTTCTTTTGGAGTCCAAATTATCTCACAATGGCACTTCCTGTTATGATAAAAGCTATCTCTCAACATCAAAGCTCCATGATTTGGTTAATCGAGGAATAATTCGAGGTTTTGTTGGAATTTTGGCGATGCTGAAACTCAGCATCTCAAAGAACAGTAGCAGGACATAAATTCCTTTGCTTACGTTTCCTAAACTGCCATTTCCTTCATGTTTTATCCTGTGATATGTCTACAGTATTCTCAAATTGCTGTCATACTGAATTTGTACATTTAAATCTCGCCTAGACCTGAATCCTTTGACCAAAAAGGAAACATTTGTGAGATGCTGGAAACCGGGGGATTCTTCCCAATCCGTAAATCTCAAGACGCTGCCGTTGGCGCTCTAGTACGTATGCTTCAAAAAGCTCCACCACTTCGCCAGGACTTCACTGATTCAGCCGCAGATCTTGTACGACCCTCTACACCCGATTCCCCAAGCAGAAATCCCCAACAGGGAACTCAGATATCTAAATCATTGGCTTCAAAGGGCCGCTATGCTGCCTCCTCTAGCATCACAACCTCTGGTCTTTTTGTGCCTAAAACTACAGCTGATGCATTGGAAGAACTACAGAGCTACAGAGAGATGAAAAATTTGTTGCTCAAGCAAGCTGGAAAGACTCCCATATGATCAGCAGTAGGTACCCATCTATGTGAATATTTAAATCCTATGAATACATGTACAGTAATTTCCCTTTCCAAGTTGCAGCTCTGGTTGGCTTCCATTTTTCTTCATGTACATATTTATATATTATATATTTGGGGAGACTGAGCGTCAAGTATATGCAGTTATGACCTTATGAATGACCCTCTGAGGGCACTTACAGCTATATCCTCTGTAAATAATGTAGTACAAACTTGCTAAATCATTGAACTCTTTATTCTGTTCTTCATTGGAAATTTGAAGCTAATTTCTTTAGTTTATTTTGTGCTATACCAGAACTGTCTGTACTTATTTATGTATGTAGAGCTAAATGTTTTCTGCTGTTTCTTTTTCTTTTTTTTAAAGATTGTGCTATTTAACAAGTGTCTAATAAATCTATGAAATTTTAAGTTTGTGTATATTTGGACCAACTTGAGCTCACCTCAACTACTCTCACAAAGCAACTGACTGACCCTGCTATATTTGTCAAAACTTGTAGGATATTAAATCTTGAACTATATTGAATCTGCATCAACTAGCCAGGCAATTTAAGCACGTAAATCTTTGCTAAACTCCCATTCAGAATAGGAGGGCTGAAGAAAACTGGTAATAGTTTCATATGCGAAGAAACAACAACCAAATTGCTGACAAAAAGCTTCAGCCTGCTGTATATGTTCAACAAACACAGGGACTCAAGTGTAACAGACAGCCTTTGAAGGAGGGGGAGAGAATATATTAGCCTCGCAAAAACCAAGCAAACCATAAGAAAATCATCCTGCTAACTACTGCATTGTTCTCTAACAAACAGGAAAGAACCATAGAGATGCATGTTCAGAGATCCCGAGTGCTAAATAAAGAACAATCGAATTGATATTGATATCGTCCACAGAGTAATAAAAAACTTGGTTTCCCAAAAGTTCAAAAAACAACTATCAAAGGAAAATCGACTTTTTCAACGGCAAAAGTAGCTTGGATTGCCCGAATGATGATGAGATGATGAGATCGCTATCTAATACAGATTCAATTGATAAAAAAAACAAACATCAAAACTCTCTCGCGGAGCTCAAAGTTAATGAGAGTAATACACACCATATCCCCGCCGGATACGCCCTTTTCCGAATGACCGATGTCGGGTGCAACAACAGCTGCAACTTTGGCGTAACTTCGATGACGATAACCATGGAGATCTGTACTGAAATTGAAGTTGCTTTCCAGTCCAGTTCTCGAGAGATGGCGAGTGACTCTGCTCCACCCCGCCAACATTGCTACAGCTACTACTGGTAATTGGACTTAACTGTCAATTGTTTTAAAATCATGTCTTTTTATTTTAGGTTTACGACTTAGAAAGACATAAAAGTTTATATCAATAATGTGTACTTTCATTCCAGTGTGTTTTAATTATAAAAACTTCGAAAATTAAGTATATTTTGATGTAATTTTGAAACTATTATAAATTTTTATTAGAAACATGTGAGTGATAACATAATAAAATAACAAAATAAACGGGTGATAATAAAAATAGTCTCAAAATGAAGAGTAAATAACATTTTTTCCGAACATAAAAATAAAACCAAGAAGGTAAAAGTGTGCATCAAAATTGGCACCAAATGGAACCTAAAATTTAAAGGAATAAAAGAAGGAATAAAATATTTTGGCGGGAAGATCATCTCTTTCACTCACAGACTCGCAGGCTCAAAGACGGAACCCTCAAATCCTCTGCAACTTCCAGGCTTACACAAGCCGCTATATCTGTTCCAATCCTAAGCGACAAATACAGTTGCCAACGTACATCGGAACTGCCCTCACCGGAATGACCCGAGACGGCGTACAATTCGACGCGGCGAAACGATCATATCGAAATTCTAAGGCCGAGGGGAACCGGCACGAGGAAGCCAAATGGGCCAATGTAATCGGAAATATCTTGAAGAATAGAGGAGAATACGTAAAAGCACTCAAGTGGTTTCGGATTGATTACGATGTGTCGGTTAAGTACTTACCTCAGAAGCATATGCTGGCAACGTGCCAGTCTCTGGGCGAGGTCTATCTTCGGCTTGAACACTTCAAAGATGCTCTTATTTATCAGGTGAGATTCTGGCTTTGGATAGCGGTCGTGCCTAGGAATGTATGGAGTTGAAAGTTAGGTTTGGTCTGAAAAAAATACGATTATAAAATTTCTGTAGCTCTCGATGCCAAATTGACTATGCAGGTAAAGATGTTGGATGTGGATATAATTTAGTAGTTTTTGTTTTACTTGCTGGCATTTCTTCCCCATAGACGTGGAAGGGATAGTTTAGGATCGAATTAACCCGATCATTCGGATTCCGTAAAAATGCACAGGGAAATAAGCTTGAAATTAACACTGGTATAGTTCGTTTTTTCGTGTTTTTCTCTATAGTCATTGAAAGTTTCATTTCATAGTATTTTGGCAGCTGTACTGGACTCTGTCGACTAATCTCCAACTTAAACGATTTAAGAAGTGCCGTTGAATCATTTGTAAACTGATAGTGCTTTTATTTTTCAGTGTTCTGTCAGTAGCCCGTCTCTTACGTCTCCTATACTATGTGTTTTATCTTCTACTTCTTATTTTATGTTCTCATGGAATATAAACCAAATTAGGTGCTGTTGTACAGCTCAATAACATATCATGATGGCCAGGAGTAATTTATATTTACCATTCTATTTTCAATTTGTTTTTTATTGTTTATTACGGATTTCATATTTAATTGCAGAAGAAACATTTAGAGCTAGCCAAAGATGCTAATGACCTCGTGGAACAACAAAGAGCTAATACTCAACTGGGTCGTACTTACCATGAGCTATTTTTGAAATCTGATGACGACCATTTTTCAGTTCGAAATGCCAAAAAGTATTTCAAGGCTGCCATGGAACGTGCAAAGTTTCTGAAAGATCACCCACCAAAAATTGGATGTTCATTCCTCAAGGAATATATTGATGCTCATAATAATTTGGGAATGCTTGAAATGGATCTTGATAATTTGGAAGGGGCCAAAAAGATCTTAACGAAAGGACTAGAAATTTGTGACGAAGAAGAGGTGGATGAGGATGATGATGGTCGTAGCAGGCTCCATCACAACCTTGGAAGTGTATATATGGAGCTAAGAATGTGGGATCAAGCTAAGAAGCATATTGAGAAGGACATAATTATCTGTAAGAATATTGGGCATTGCCAAGGAGAGGCTAAAGGATACATTAACCTTGGTGAATTGCATTACAGGGTCCAAAAGTATGATGAAGCAATTCATTGCTATCGGAAGGCTCTTCATCTAGCAAAATCAATGGAAGACGAGGATGCTTTGGCAAGGCAAATTGATCAGAATATTAATACTGTTAAGGAAGCTGTACAAGTGATGGTTGCACTGAGAAAAGAAGAGCAGAATCTTAAGAAGCTAATGAGAGAAATGGTCACTGCTAGAGGCACACCTCGTGAGCGCAGATGTCTACTGCAGCAAAATGCCTCTCTTGATTGCTTAATTGAAAAATCAAGTACGATTTTTGCATGGATGCAGGTGAAAGCAATAATTTCTAATGTCATTATGTTGCACTAAAAATTTTCAATGAGAAAGTAACTTCTTTGCAGCAGCGGTGGTTGTATTTCCTAGACTTGAACCAAACTAAAGTTACAAAACGTCTTTAAGTTTGATTTTAGTTCCTCAGGTATAACGTACGGCAGTGCTTAGTCCATGAATTGCATGTTAGAGTATGCAGAAATTTTAGTTAATTTTGTGTCCGTTTAGTTTGTTTTGACGTGGCCTTTTATTCTATTTGAGTATTTGTTTGAAAATGTTTCCAGACATTTGTAAATGAGCTGACTATATAGTTTTCTTTGGGACAAGAAAAATTTGACACATTGGTTTTGTTTAATTATTAATTAGAATTTGATTTAATGTTATACAGCAGACAACTTCTAATTGGAGTGCTCTCTCTATCTATGCAAGTTCATTTTTGTAACTTCAGCATCTCTTTGATCAATCTCAGTTGTTGTTTCATGTAGTTTTCTTTTATGAGAAATGGAGCTTTCGTTGAAAATAAGGAAAATGTTTCATACGGTTTTTGCTGGTTGGGGTATTCTTCTCCCTCTGCATTTGACGGCAATTCTTCCTGCCTACGAAGCATTTTTTTAAAATAAAAGTATGGCTGTCTATGAGTTTTTCTTCCATGTTTTTTTTTTTTTTTTTTTTTTTTTTTTTTTTTTTTTTTTTTTTTTTTTTTTTTTTTTTTTTTTTTTTTTTTTTTTAATGAATTTAGGAGGCTTTTTGTGCATATGAGTTTAGGTAAGGATTATATACTATGGTTGTGGTACGGATGTTTTCCTCTTTGTTATCATTGTTGTTTATTAATACTTCTGCTGTGGTTTAGCATCTTGAATTTGCAAAAAGGAAGAAAAGGGTTGCAAGTGAACTTTGCGACAAGGAAAAGCTGAGTGATTCTTATCTGGCTATTGGTGAATCATATCAAAAACTAAGAAAATTCACAAAATCCATTAAATGGTATGTGAAGAGCTGGGAAGTATACAAGTCTATTGGTAATTTAGAGGTAATGTTTGTTCCATATGTTTTATAAGTAATATTGAAAGAAGCCTCCTAAACTCTACAGCCCAAAATTTAACCACCTCTTCAAGATATTTGTCAAATTATAATTTACAATTATTTTTTGTATATTTTATTTACTTATTTGTAAATAGCTCTTAATTGGTAATTGTTTCCTCGTATGCTATTTTCCTTCCAAGTTTGTTTTCTTTGTAATCTCTATTTACACTCTTCTTGCGGGTCTTAATGTTGAATTTGATGCGGTTGGAATACAATTTTTGGGACCCAAATATTGGGCAAAGATCTTCATCACAAGCAGAAGGATCAGCCATGAAAGTAGGAGGTATCAAAATGAATAATCAAATCACTCACGCTGAATCTAACAACTGGGAAGGAGAAGAATCAGGAAATAAGGATAATTTGGTGTGTACTTAATGCAAAATACCGAGGCATACCAAAGATAAATGTTGGAAACTGCTTGTGATGGGGAGTCCACTCGGGTATGAGCAAACTGGAAATAAGGTTTGTAAAGTGAAAAAAGCTTTGTATGGACTACTTCGGATAAAAAAATTATCTTAGTATACTTGAAGATTTCACGGGAAGGAACTATGAAACTTTACTGTGGTAATAAGCCTGCCATCAGTATTGTCCATACTCCAGCTCAACTTGATAGAGCCAAGCATGTACAAGTTGTTGAACAATTTATAAAAGTGAAGTTGGATAGTGGTCTCATTTGTACTCCATTTGTGCCCATCGATAATCAAATAGTAGATATCCTCACCAAAGGATTGAGCAACAACTTTGAGAATTTAGTGAGCAAACTGGGAATGGAAAGCATTCATTCAATGGCTTGAGGGGGAATGTCAAATTATAATTTACAGAACTTTTTTTTTGTATATTTTTCTTTCTTATTTGTAACTAGCTCTTAATTGGTAATTGTTTACATGTATGGTATTTTCCATTGTTTTTCTTCTATATAGATTAGTCTTGTACCGATTCTTCTTCAGTAAGAAAGAATTATCTTCATTTGTATAGATTTTTTTTTTCTCTTGCGAATATATTATTTGGAAGAACTGTGAAAATTTAACCTATGCGAGAATTCAAAGTATTTTAACCTATGAAAGAATTATCTCCTCAAATGCATCTTGTGAAAACATATTTGAAGTCAAAGTGTTTTAACCTATGCGAGAATTCGGATTCAGTGAGTTGAAAATTTTCATATGTGGATGATAGTGCTATTCTGGTTTGTTTTTATGCTCTTACAATCTTTTATATTAGGGACAAGCACTAGCCAAGATTAATATTGGTGACGTTTACGACTGTGATGGCAAGTGGACAGAAGCATTAGATGCATTTGAGGAGAGTTACAGGTATTCAACTGCATTCTTTAGGATTTCCATTTTTCTTTCCTTATCTTTCTACTTCATAGAGCATGTAAGGTTTTATTGTGGGCTTGGGATTTTTTGATGTCCTTGCATTCTTTCATTTTTTTTTCTCAATGATATTGTGATTCATTATATATATATATATATATATATATATATTTAGAGCATGTGAGGGTTGAATGCATTCTTCCTCAGTGTGGTTTTTGAGTTTAAAATACAAAAATTTACCAGTTGATACATTAGTTCTTCCAATTGAAGAGCACTAGTTCCCAGAATTTAAACCATGTTTTTGTGGGAACACATAAACTCCAGTTTACTAATACTGTAATCGATTCTTTAATGATGCATAGTAAGAAATTCTTAATTAGCTTCATTTTGATTGGTTTGCACCTTATTGCCTTTGCAAAAAACCTTCGGGTCTTTCCTTTTGGGTTCCTTGTTCTGAGATAGACTTACTTTACTTCTGAAATCATAAAATTTAGAAGAGATTGTGTTGTGCTATCTTCTAAAGTTACACTCCCGGTAATCATTGATCAAAATACTTAAGAGCCTAAACTTCTGCAAGTATTTTGTGTTTTTTCCCCCCTTCTTTTTTCTATCTTTGAATGGGGTTTTAATTTAAAAATTGATGTGATTATGGATGCTTTTACGCTTTGATAACATATAAATTACCATAATGATACTTCTTTGAGCAATTTGAAAATAAGATTGGGTTGCTTCTTTATTCATTACCATTAAACTTGCACTTGCATTAAAAAGATGAAGAGTGCAAAAATTAGTTTTCTCAAAATCAATGGTTCAAGCATTTTGATAAACACTGACGGCACATTTAATGTCCTTGCATTTGAGGGATAGTTTGATGCTTATTTGGTTGCCTATATTGTAGGATTGCTCTGGAGGCTAAACTTCCTTCTGTCCAGCTTTCAGCACTGGAGAATATGCATTATAGCCACATGATACGATTTGATAATGTGGAAGAAGCTAGGTAAGTACTATACGTGAAGTGAGAACATAATCAGTTTATATTTATGGGACTTCTTCATTTAGTGATTAGAAAATAATTTTGGATATTATAGAGCTCGATTTTTTCTTTTATAGTCATCATGACTTGTTAAGCTCATTCGTGTATGAGCTCCCATAAAATAAATAGAGAAGATGATGTCTATTTTGCAGGCGGTTACAGTCCCAAATTGACCAATTGAAGGAAAAAACGAAAAGTGGTAATGAAACAAAATTTGTAGCACAGGATTGCTGCTCTGAAACTGATTCAGAAGAGGCTCTGTCAGACATTCCATCTAATGAGTGCTTGTCAGAAACTAGAAAATCTTGTAACAGCAGGTTTAATTCTTCAAAATCTTTATCTGATTTAGAAGAGCCAAATGACCCAGTTACTTTTACGTCATCCCTCAAGCGGCATGAAAGTTCACCTAAAATCAAATCAATTGACATGGAAAAATACAATGCTTCTTCTAACCCTTGTGAATTTTCGCCTAAAAGTTTGTCTCAGTCAGCTGGTAGCCAACAGACTACCATTGGTCGTAAACGTGTTCGTGTGATTCTTTCTGATGATGAGGGTGAGGATGAAATGATTGATTTCTCAAAATCAAGGCCTCATTTATGCCGGGGAGAGAATTCTGCAACTTCTGATGAGAGTTAGTTTTTACTCCTTAACTTATTTGAGCTATAGACTTTCACAACCATTGACTGAGTGTTGGCTGTGTTTGTTCCTCAATTTCAGACAAGAATAAACAATGCTCAGGAAATATTGCTGCAGAAATTAAGGTATATCTCAAATTGGGTCATTGAGGATTATCATGCTTGTGTTTGAATAACTTTAATCGTTTGATATTTTGTTTGGTAGGAGGGTTCAGTAACAACCAGCAAACATGCAAGCAGGTCTTGCGAAGACATTGAAGAAAGCACTGGTTCATATAAATACAAGAGTCGAAATATCGCTTCTCAAAATGATAAAGTTTTTGGAACTCAAAATGCTGAAGAAATATTTCGTTCTGATTCTGCTGCTAGTGGCTCAAAATTTGAAGTTGACATCTCGGAAAATCTGTTGCATAAATATAATGCTACCAAGTTGAATCCTTCTGAGCAGGGTGTAAGTGTTCTTTGAAATGCTAGCTTGAGATACTTATTTTGTCAATGGCTTACACTCATGCCAAGATTATTTTAAATTTAAGTTTTTTGTTTACTGTTGTCATAAGCTTCTGACCTAACTCCTAAGATATTCTCTAATTGCAGGAATGTGTTACATTCAAAATTGATAATAAGCAGATACACATAGAGATTGCATCATTTGGAGATATGCTAACCATTGAATCTGCGAAGGAAGAACTAGCATGCATTTACTATCTACAACTTCCCTTTGAAAAGAGATCAGAGGGTATTTACCAGATACTTACATTTTTTCTGCTCAAATATCTTAAGTAATTATGGGTACATAAGATGGATGGCCTTACTAAAAAAATGAAATAATTAAAATCATGGGGCTAAATGATATTAATCTATGACTGTGATGTCCCACATTGGTTGGGAAAAATAATTAAAATCATGGGGCTAAATGATATTAATCTATGACTGTGATGTCCCACATTGGTTGGGAAGGAGAACAAACCACCATTTATAAGGGTGTGGAAACCTTCCCCTAGCAGACGCGTTTTAAAACCTTGAGGGGAAGCCCGAAAGGGAAAGCCCAAAGAGGACAATATCCGCTAGCGGTGGATCTGAACCGTTACAAATGGTATTAGAGCCAGAAATCGGATGATGTGCCAGCCTTCTCGCTGTTCCCCGAAAGGGGTAGACACGAGGCGGTGTGCCAGTAAGGACGCTAGGCCCCAAAGGGGGGTGGATTTGGGGGGCGGTCCCACATCGATTGGAGGAAGGAAAGAGTGCCAGCGAGGACGCTAGCGGATTGTGATGTCCTACATTGGTTGGGAAGGAGAACAAACCACCATTTATAAGGGTGTGGAAACCTTCCCCTAGCAGACGCGTTTTAAAGCTTTGAGGGGAAGCTCGAAAGGGAAAGCCCAAAAAGGACAATATCTGCTAGCGATGGATCTGGACCGTTACAATGAGATCGTGTCAACATGTCTGAATTCTTTGTAGACTAAATTGAGACTTCTCCACGTGAGTCTATGTTAGTTTCAAATCTTTTACTGTTAGTTTTTCCAAGATTACCTCTTTGGCATTGTTTTCTTTGAAAATGTCCCTCATTCCAAGCGGAGTAATGTTGGAAGGAGAGCAGCTAGCGAGGCAATAGGTCTTGAAGTGGGTTAGAGAATTAAGAATTCTAGAGTGATCTGTTAATTACTGAAAGCATGCCTTAAAATGAAGTTGAGGATGTGTTTGATCTTTTACGAAGGCTCTTTTCTAGAATGTTGAAGGATTGGGTGTATGTATAAAATGAGCACAGTTAGTGATTTGTTTATTCCAGTTAATCCAGACATAGTTATTCTTCACAGAACCAAATGTCAAAGTATTTTTATGAGTGTGGTTAAAAGTTTATAAACGATATGTGGTACGAAATGAGGAGAATTAGAAGGCCTAGTTGTTGTTGGGGTATCATGAGTCTATCTCTGAATTTACCTCATGTTTGGGAGTATATTTTTCTAAAAGTAGTGTACCAAAAATTACTAGCACTGGTGATGATAATAGAGTTCTCGGCCAGTCTTCGTAGATGTCGTTCTTGTTGTAGGCGGATGAAGCACTTGGTCTTCCTATTGAAAGGAATCCGTAGATCCTATACTTCGGTACTTTCGGGAGAATAAAGGTGATAAAAAAATTCCTGAAGTAGAATGAAGCTTTTCTAGGAGGACAGATTGACTTTCTGTGGTCTCTTTTTTTTTTTTTTATGCCACATTCTTCTCGTTGAAACAGTTTCTAAAAAAAGATTTTTTTTATCCAATCAGCATGCTAATACCTTTATTTGTTATATGCTCCTATCAAATTTTCCTCCATTTCTTCCCAGAAAATTTGTTTGATAAAAGCAGTTTTTATTGAGAAATATAAAAGAGTGCTTGTACAACAAATGAAAGCCTATGACAAAGGAGCCAAGAAAACAAAAGGCTAGCTAATGACACAAGTACGAGAAAGGGTTCCATTTCAAAGAAAGAGAGAGAAAAGGACAATCACTTCTTAGTAATAGAGACCTAAAGTTAGAGTTTGTACCTAACCAAGACCTAAACCTTCTCCATGAACCCTCTGCTTCTATAGAAACCCCTAATCTCCCCAAGCCAAATATTTTACAAGACTGCGAAGAAAGAAGTACACTGGAGGGCTATCCTCTATCTCAAAAGGATGGATGGCTGTAATACCTCCTCCACGATAGCCCTTCACGGTTTGGAGGTTGGAGGTTGATTGAAAAAAACATCTCATGGATGTTGATTTAAGCATTTAGTCGGGTAAAGTGTGTGGAGAAATATCTATGAAAATGAAAATAGCATATTCCATCTGTTGGTAGCACAATCAGTTTTGTCCCCTTGTATCTCAATTTTAAAAATTTGATTTTCGTCGTGTGATACAGTGGGCTAAACAATTCCTAATATTTTTCTTTTACATGCCTTCTTAGGTCTGTTACCTGTGATTCAACATATAAGTTGTGATGGGAGAACTCTGGAGAACCTTGAATTTTTGAAAACCTATGGCCATGAGAGAAATCTTTTGTTTGATGCTGTCGTCAATGGTATGTTTTATCATAAACTTATTTTCATGATTTCATTTTTGGATATATGTCTTATCATAAACACTTTGTTCTCTAAGCATTAATAGAAATAAAAATTTAGTCTCTATGTTAAATCATCACCGAATCCAAAAGCTTAAGCTGATGGGTTATGATAAATTTAATTATATCAACACTTTCTTGTGATCTTGAAAATTTTTCGAAGTTCCAAGAAGTTGAATCAATATTAATTGGGGAGAAAATGACATTACATGAATTTAAACACAAGATCTTCTGTTTTGATTTCATGTTAATCATCACTTAACACCCTAAAATTTAATTTGTGAGTCCTTACAATTCCAATTTTGTAACAATTGAGTCTTTATACTTTAAAATTTGTAACGATTTTGTTTCTGTTGTGAAAAATATTATTAACATTTAATAAAACTCCTTATCTATTAGATTGGTCAATTTTTTTGAGACCAAGTGTTTATAAACTATAAAGTTTAAGTAATTATGTTATAAAAATTGACACTCAACTTTGATGAGAGTTTCTTATTAAATTGTTACAAATTTAAAAGTATAGGGACGAATAAATTGTTTCAAACTAAAGGTTGATAATTAAATTGTTACTTTAAGGAGAGTTTAGGGACCAAAAGTGTTCTTAAGCATGTCAATCTCATGTTGTATATGGTGCGAGGTCTCATCCAATATTATGTATCAATATGCCATTTCACATCGTGGATGGCACGGAATAATGACTTTTATTCTTGTTTCGTCAATTGAGATCGTTTCAGAATTTGGGAGTTGTCCAGTTGTTGTATATGAGAAACTAGGTTTCTATCTCAGCTTTTAGTTGAGGGAATTGTCAATATTAAGGCTATTGGTTGAACCAAAACCAATTTCCCCGGTTTTTGGTATTTTTCTGAACTGTTTATCTATCATTTAGCCTTAAGACTATAGTTCTGTATATCCCACGATTACTTCAAATAACAGTATTATCTATCTCATTGTTCGCCAAATGTAGTATAAATGCTGTCATTAGTTTCTTGATTGCTGAACTTAAAGTGACACCAGACGTATAATTCTGTGTGTCAAACATATAAAATAATTACTTACACCTTGACAGGATGTGTTGTTGTTCACAAGGGGTTATTTGCTGATAGAGTCAACTTAATGAAAAGCATCGTTTTATACCTTGACAGGATGGGTTTCAAAACCCTTGATAAAACTCTATATTGATTACTGCAAGGAGTTATCCGAGACACCTAACATGAAGTTGCTGAAAAAACTGTACAATCTGGAGGTATGTCATTGGTGTTAGTTGACCTAATGCTACCCTCGTTCTGAATGGGACAAACTCTTGCAAGAAATGATTGCAATGTCTTTCTTCAAGGTGGATTATATTGATTTGACTGTCATCTATCTTATGTATTCTAGGCTTCAGATGACGAGATTGCGGTGCCTGATTGTGATCTGCAAGACCTATCTATAAGTCCACTGTTGAATGCGCTGCACATCCAGAAAACTTTTGCTATATTAGACCTTTCTCACAATTTCTTAGGCAAGTTTATTCTTATTGTTAAAAATGACGTTCCCCAATAGAGACCATTTCACATACTTAAAAGAAGTTCAAGTTTTTTTGGATTTTTAATTTTTTAAAATAGTAAGATAGGAGTCTGTATGGTTCGTATTATTACTAACTTTGACACTTAAGAAGCAGCTCCGTTAGAACATTGAAATATCTGAGAAGAAAGTATTACACGTGAACACTTGACAAATGAAACCTGAACTGAATAGGACATGCAAACTATATTATTAGTATTTGGGGTAGTAGTACTATTTGCGTTCTTATAACTCATATGCTGCAGGAAATGGAACAATGGAGAAAATTCAGCAGGTCTTCAAGCAATCCAGCCAGACACATGACTTAACGTTAGATTTACACTGCAATCGATTTGGTCCAACTGCTTTATTCCAGGTTTCATATATCCTTTTAAACATTTAAATTAAAGTTTTCTTTGACTCTTCATGCAAGATGTTTACATCTAGGAGGATTACTAGAACTCTTTTATGAAGAAAGATTTTTGTTCCTAGAAACATCTGAACCTGGATTACAGTTTTCTTTTGTATTGTTTGCTAAAAGTGATGTGGTTACAAAGTGGATACTTGGGATTGGATAAATGCAGGGCAGCAAGATTATTCCCGTTTTGTGTTAGGACTGGAAGTGATTGTACTGCAACGAGCAAGGAGTGTTGTTGCCACAAATAAACTAATAGAGGCTTCAGGGTATTAGATCTGATTTGAGCAATATTGAGTGTGAATAAAGATTTCCTTTGTGAGTTCTTTGAGAGAGCTTAGGCTGCATTGGGTACTTTTACTATTATTTGGAGTACTCAATTAGAAAGAAACAAAAGCATTTTTGCATTTGTAGAAGGGCATTGAAAGGAGGTTTGAAGAGTGCTTCACTTCAATACCTCATTTCTGGATTTTGGTTTTTAGCATTTCTTGGGCGTCTCTTTAATGTTGATTTTCACATTCTTTTTGCATCTCCCTCGTTTGCCTTGGCCTGTGTTCTCGTGTAGCCCTGTGCTATGTTCTTTTGGTTTATTATTTTTTAAAATTTTGGAATTGTCTCTGTTACTAATACTCCAATATTCAGATTTGTGAATGCCCTATTCTTTTCACTCGATTGGAAGTGCTTAACATATCTGGAAATCGCCTAACCGATGCTTGTGGATCTTACCTTTCAACTATCTTAAAAAACTGCAAAGGTAAATGCATTTCCGATTTAGAAGTGATTTTATAAATAGTTCGTGTCGTTTGACCCCTATATGACATTTGGTTGGTGTCTCTACGAATTTCTTTATTCTGTCTTTTTTTCTTCGTATTTTAAAATCATTGATGCATCTTGATTTCAGCTATATTAATTGAGTTCTAATAATATGCGCTGAGGTTCTGGTTGAATGTCAATAACCTTTCACTTCGATTTATTTTTCAGATATAGCTTGATTATTTTCATTTTCCCAGGTCTTTGGAGCTTGAACATTGAACGATGTTCCATCACATCTAGAACAATTCAGAAGGTTACTGATGCATTGGAAGTTGGAGCATCCCTTGAAAAGCTGTATATAGGTTACTTCCTTTTTTTTTTTTTTTTTTTTGCATGAATTGAAAAAACAATGGCAATACTGGTATCTTCCTCTTTATATTTAGGGACTTAAATTTTCCAATCATTCTTCGACAGGATACAACTCAATCTCTGGAAATGCCCTCAGTAGTTTATTTGTTAAGCTCACAGCACTGAATAGGTTGGATGAACAGAATTATATTTCTGCTTTTCTTTGCAGAGTTTTAAAGTTCAAATCTCCTGGAGAAAATTTAAATGAACGACCTGGTCTTTTTGTAGGTTTACAAGTCTTAGTCTAAGTGGTTTGAAGTTGAGCAAGCCTGTTTTGGAAGGCCTTCTCCAGCTTATTAAATCCTTGGGGTTGTCTGGATTAATGCTTGGGAGCACTGGTATTGGAGATGTGGGTGAATTCCATGACGCATTCCTTTATTTTTTTCCCCCTCTTTTTGTTATTTACCTTTCTGTGCAGTAGCAAGCATTATTCTTCTGTTTGGTGACAAGACATTACTAAACTCCGTAGGATGCTGCATTAGAGATAACTGAGTCATTTAGCGGAAGTGAAGAGCTTGTGAAACTTGACTTAGCTTATTGTGGACTGACATCCAAGTACCTTGTCAAATTTGGTGGTTGCATTTCTATTATACAGCGCATTCATGAGCTGAATCTTTCTGGGAATGCCATCATGCAAGAGGTTCGTTAAAATCGCCTACTTCTATACTCCTCATATTGGTCATGGCTGTTTAGTGATTTTCTTATAACAATACAAGTTATCCTCAATAAACTTTTATGCCATTTTTGTTAACTAAGCTATTTTAACTTCTTATCAAGTTACTTTGTTGGATTATGCACCAAGTACACTTTCACCTATCATTCACGAAGAGGGCTAAAAAGGGAAGTTTGAATAGTTACGTTTGGGAAATGTTCTTGATATGTAGGAAGTGCGGTGTGGTTTGCAGTCACGAAGTTGCTTTTAGGAGAGAGGTAGCCCCATTGAATAGGTTATAAACTCTCGATTCATGAGTGAGATTGCGCTGAGATTACACAATCCATAAGATAGTTAATTTGGGTTGTGTTCTTAATTAGATACGTATCAGAAATTTTAATCCTGCTGAGAGGAACCGTATCTTCTGAACAATGGACCAAATATGATTAATAGGTCAATTATCGGACTTCATTTTGATTATGTAATGTCATCGAACCTGGCATGCCTATTATTAAGTTGTATTCTGTTTACCTTGACGTTGTAAATTCAGCAATTTTATCCTGACTGATTCATTCGCGCATTCAAAGTCCTGATTATTCAGCATGACCACAGGGTTGTAATGCAGTATCGTCACTAATAGCTAACCCTCAATGTGGCTTAAAAGTCCTGCTTCTCAACAAGTGTCAGCTTGGCCTAGATGGAGTTGTTCAAATCATTCAGTCTGTAGCAGGTTGTAACGTTAATGCAAAGTTTTCATACGAGGCCCAAAATGGCCAACTTTTTGTTATTAATGTTAATTTTGTATCAGGTAACTACTATCTTGAAGAGCTCAATCTTGCCGACAACGTTGTTCTTGTTAGACATGCCCTGCAATGTAACATAACAGAGAAAGAAAGTAAAGAACTTAAACAACCGTGCCACGATATATCTAAACCTCAAGGCCTAACATGTTCAATAGAGGAGTTGGACCCTGCCCAACAGAATTTAGAGGAGGTAAACGCTGAATACAATCATCTTGAAGTTGCAGATAGCGAGGAACCAATTAGAGAAGCTGCAGCATCTGGGATTGATGATAGTTGTGCAAGTTCATGTGAAAGGAAATCCGCGTCTCTTGATTGCCAGTCTATTTTACCACTTTCAACTGCCATTGGGATGGCAAAAACGTTGCAATTACTGGATCTTAGCAATAATGGTTTTTCTGCCCAGGAGACTGAAACAATGTTTGGTGCATGGTCAACTTCGAGAACTGGTTTGGCCCAAAGACATATTGAGGACAACATAGTACATCTATTTGTAAAGGGGGCGAAGTGTTGTGTGAGACCCTGCTGCAAGAAGGATTAGTTTAATGCTGCTGAAATCTGTTATATCAGATTCTTTCTTTGAATACTCCGCGTCCAGACGGCGAGGATTGAAGAGGTCAGTTCTCAGTATGCCTCATTTCTACTTCATCATGCAAATGACCATCTATTGCCATGCACAAATTATTTGCTTGTATTAACTGTTTAGCATTGTGTATTATAGGGGAAACCGGCAATAAATTTGATTAACATTTCCAATATTCTATCACATGTCAAGTTTCTTAACGATTGAACAACTTGAACATAGTACAATGACTGAGTCATTGAGCTCATAACTATGTATTTAAGATGTAATGTTCTTTAGAAAAAGATAGGCTTTTTCCACTTCCCTACCCTTTACGCAAACCAAGGGTGATGGTTTAACTTCATTCAACTGCATACCTGTCTTGCACCTTGCAACATGTGATGTTTCATGTAACTAAGCGTTTTTTTTTTTCTCTAGGCAGGCTAAAATTGCTTCACGGGTGGACCGACTTAAGGAACATGGAGTGATCGGTTTTTTCACGTATAAACAAACCTTTTGGTTCCTATATTTTTCATCTTCTAATTTGTTAGTTCTTAATACTCTTTACAAAATGTATGCAAACAAAAGAAAAACAATAGAGAAATTGTATATCCAATAAAATATCAACTCACTCAATGTAATATTCAAAGTTTGGTAGAAGTTTTTGATTTCGCTATTATGACCAAATTTAAAGAACCTGTCCAAATTAATCTCATAATTGATAGCATAAAGATATTTAAATTTTTAAAAATGAATTTTAAAGTGGGTAAGCTTATTAAAAAGAAAAAAAAAAAGAGGGTATAATAATTTAATAATGGCAAAGGGGAGAGTTGTTGGCATGCTTCTCAACAAATTGCAGTGGGATTCCTTTTGCTCATTTAATTCATTTGCTCTGTCCCTTCCTCAGGAACCTCCTGCCCTCAACTTTTGCTTCCTTTACCATTTTCCTATTGCCTTTATATCTTTTAGTTTCGTGTGCTAAATCATGCTTCCCTCCACATTCCTTAGCACATCTTTTATTTATATATATACAACTTCAACAAATGTAAGATTGATGGATCAAACGTTCAACATTAGAAAAACTGAAATGTCGAGTTTGAAAACTCTAGGACTTAATGCTACCACCCAATCTCAAAGACCATGATATTTTATCTATTTAAATACGTTTAAATCGATGTTAGTTACCTAAAGTTATTTCCTCGAACTTTCCTCGAAGATAGAAAGGAAGAGGAGAATTCCCTGTCCTATGCAAAAGGGGAACAAGGCAAGTGTAGAAGCAAAGAGATGATAGCCAAAGATAGGATGAAATGAAAAGTGATGTTAAGTTATGAGTAGAGTGAAAGGTTAGTTTGGCTCGAGAGTTTAAAAAAAAAAACAATGAAGAAAATACTAATTTGATTGAGTTTGTTTGATTTGTTTAGCTTGATAAGGAAGGAAAATGATATTACATATCATGATGTTCATAATAATCGTCGTGTAAGACTTTATCTTAGTACCACATGTATATTGTAGAACTAAATGTATTATCATACGAATCACACGAGATGATGATAATACGTAGAATGATTGAATTATAAAAGAAAGAAACTTCAATGATCGATTACATTCTTTTTCGGTGTTATTTAGAGTTTTAAGCAATCATTCATAAAGGGGGTTTGAGAACTTTCCGTTACTGTTGAACAATGAGTACAATTTGTGGAGAAAGCTGATAAATTTGGTTTAATTAACTGGATTTTGGTGGCCATCATGATCTTCCTTTGTATTTCTATGCACCAAAATGAATGGGGAATTCAATTATTTGAATCCAAAGATCTTGTTGTCTTCGATTAACTCTCACCATCAAAAGATCCTTCCCATAATACCTCTTTTGATCATATTCTATGTTGACATTCCTTAACCATAGATTACTACTTTTTTGTATTGATGAAGAAGCTTTTAGTTTACATATTCAACAAAATTTAACGCTTTATTAATCTTTTGAACGTAGCTTGAAAACCCTACTGTATTCCTGTCCCGAGTCATGTCTCTAATTTAAAGTTTTAGCCTAATCTTAGACAAAGAGCAAGGAAGACGTGAAGCATTGATGATCACAACCCAACAGTAATACCTACAAGCATCAAACAACCAAGTAACTTTATAATGATCTCTGTCATACAATTGAAAAAATGACTCGTAAGAGAGGAACCCACATTTATGGTTATACTCTAGTGGAAGACGTGACCACTAAGGAGACCATTCTGAATGAAATCAAAGATGCTAATGGATAGACATGGTTCCAACCCGGTGAAAGGGAAGGATGCCCTGATTAAACGCCTCCCAAACGTCAAATAAATAATGACAAAAAAAAATTAATTGGGCTATTTACCAATCGAAAATTATATCGTCGCACCAAGGTGCACCAACAATATTCAAAGAAAACCTAAAACGTGCATGTCTCTTTTTCTCTACCAATGTTTAAAGTAATAATGCATTAATCTTTTCATTCGTTCGTACCACTTAATATATGATTATCTCGTTAATCTTTCTTAATCAACCATAATTAGGTTTGGATTATTATCGATGAACATAGATGTAGGGAAGCACGCTTAAGAAGTTTGACAAAGGGAAAAAGCGGAGAGAAATGGAAGCAATTAATTAAGTTTTCCCTTTTGGCTAAGTGGATATGTATTCAAATCATTGCATTTTCCCTTTGAGAAAGCATAGTATATAATTATGGAGCCATACATGTATGATTTATAATATATAGTTTCAAAACAATATATTAAAACTAATATTTCATTATATTATTTAGTCAATAAAAACATGGCTAAAATTAAATATTCAATATATTTAATATCCTCTTTCATTTCTCTTTTAAAAAATTATTTAAAAAAAATGAAAAACCCATGAGTATTCAATATAAAATTAATTAATTAGTTAATGGATATTTTAATTAATATAATTTAATAATATGAAAATTTTGATTCTCTTACTTTATACATGTAATATATAGTTTCCTTTTTGCCATGAAACAAGGAAGTGGGGGAACCATTGCCCCCTTTGACTTGGTCAAATAATTCATTAATTAATTTTTATAAAAATAAATATAAATAATGAATATGTAATTAAAATAAAGATAAGGGTATATGATATAATTGAGGACTAAAAAGTCTACAATATTTAGGTTGTGACCACCCACTTCTTATTTTCAAAATTACTATGCTTTCTGACATATATTTATATAATTCCTTTTCAACCATTTAATGCTTCCATTTGACTAAAATTATATATATAATTTATTATTATTATTATTATTTTTAGGTAAAAAAAAACATTTCTTAAATAGACGTAGAAACCTCTCCCTATCAGACACGTTTTAAAATTGTGAGACTAACGTCGGAACGGACAACATATCTACTAACAGTAGGTTTTGGCTATTACAAATTGTATCAGAGTCAGGCATCGAGTAGTGCACCAGCGAGTACACTCGATCTCCGAAGGCTTAGGGAATCCAATGTTTACCATAAAATTATAACCAAAACCATTGAATGGTTTCTTTCCTTTTAGGCTGTCAACATGTCTCACAATTGAGCTAAGAAAATTTCTCTCTTTTTCTCTTTTTTATTATCCATATTCAATGGATTCTCACATATAATTTAATTTACTCTATTATTTTTTTTTAATTAAGTTTGTCGCACGTTACATCTTAATTGATAATTTACGATAAAATTGTATGAATCGAGGATTATAGAATTATTCATTTAACATTAATATTTACTAATAATTCACTCTAATTTGTAGATCGATGAAAATAAAAAGGTTATTTTTTTATTTTTATTTTTTTTGGCTAAAATCCACGGCCAATGATTTTGTTAGATTTGAAGACAAATTAAATTTTATTATGATAATGATTCCAATATTACAAACTAATCATCATTACTTTACTATTAACCTCATTAAATCAACCCTCCTTTAATCACTATATTATATATATATATATATATATATATATATTCCCAAATCAGTAATTTATACACACGAAAATACTAAGTAGATTACATTAACATTTTTATTCCTAGGAAACCCCGAACCCAACCAAAAAAACAAAAAAAAAAAAAAAAAAAAAAAAAAAAAAAAAAAAAAAAAAAAAAAAAAGAGAAATTTAAACATCCATTACATATATATATATATATCAAAAGGCTAGCATTTTTGTGAAACATTTAAAAAAAAAAAGAAGGAATTTTTAGACTAACCCATGAAACAATCCGATGTACAATACGAACCCATGTCTCAAATTTTTGTCCCCAAAAAAGAAAAAAGAAAAAAAAAACAAGAACAAGATGATGATCAATCACCTTTACTGTGAAAAGAAAAAAAAAATTGTAATGAAATTTGAGGATGAAGCGATCTTCAAGGCGCTCTCCAGCTTCTTAATCCAATATCGTTGTGTTTCCTTGAAGGACCAGAGGCTGGAATGGGTATTCTTCTGGGCAAGAATCCGAAGAAATGGCCGTATGAATGAGGCTTTTTGGGCTTCAACTTGAAGAACAAGGCGTGCTTGGTTGGGTACCCATTGCACCAACTCAGTAGCTCCCCGTTCATCAACAACATCACCAATAACATCCAAGCAAGCTTCCTTGTTCTTCCTCCACCCACGAACACGATCATCGTTATCTTCGATTATTATTGTTGTTGCTGCTGCTGCTGCTGCTCAAGATTTGTGATGGATTTTGGAGAGATGATCCAAAGTGGATGGTTTGTGATGGGAGATTTTGTTTTTGAAGAGAGAAGAAAAGGAGAGAAGGGGCTGATGAATTATGAGTTCTTTTAAAACAAATTAGATGCTTCTGTGCTTTGCAGAAGTAATATGTTGGGACGCTACCACAAACTTGAAAAGGGGTTCCAAACAATCTCTCTCTCCTTTTCATCCTATCAGTCTCACGATTTTAAAAACAGTCTAACCTCACAGTTAGTAGATATTATCTGTTTCGACCAGTTATGTATTTCTTACGGTTCTAAAACTCGCCTACTAAGGAGAGGATTCCACCCCCTAAGAAATAATGTTTTGTTTGGTTGAGGCACAGCTTCCTCTCTCGCACTTGTTTCTCTCTCCAATTGATATGTGATCTCATAAGTTTTCACACCCTTAAATACTTCTTTCTCCCCTCCAACCGATGTGGGATCTCACAATTTACCCTCTCTCGGGATCTAGCGTTCTCGTTGGCACTCATTTCTCTCTCCAATTGATGTGAGATCCCCACACCTTTGAATACTTCGTTCTCCTCTCCAACCGATGTGGGATCTCACAATTCACTCTCTTTCGGGACCTAGTGTCCTTGTTGCCACTCGTTTCTCTCTCCAATTGATGTGAGATCTCCACACCCTTGAATACTTCGTTCTCCTCTTCAACCAATGTGGGATCTCACAATTCACTCTCTTTTGGGTCCAGCGTCTTCGTTGTACTAATTTCTCTCTCCAATTGATGTGAGATCCCCACACCCTTGAATACTTCCTTCTCTTCTTCAACTGATGTGTGATCTCAGAATTCACCTTCTTTCGGGGCCCAACGTCCTCGTTGACACTCATTTCTCTCTCCAATTGATGTGGGATCTCACAAGTTTTCATACCATTGAATGTTTCGACCTCCTCTTCAACCAATGTC